TATATATATATATATATATATATATATATATATATATATATATATATATATATATATATATATATATATATATATAACCAGTTTCAAGCTTCGTCACACCACAGAGATCGAAAATGGCGGGTGCTGGTGGCGGAAAGGTCTCCTTCAAAGTGACCCTCACCTCGGACCCTAAGCTCCCTTTCAAAGTGTTCGTAATCTTAAACCCTCGATCTTTCGTTCTTAGGGGTTTTTTCCCTGTTCAGACTTAAGATCCAGTCTTACGGCCTTTCAATTTCTTTGACTCTCAGGTTTAGTGTTCCAGAGGCTGCGCCCTTCACCGCTGTCCTTAAATTTGCCGCTGAAGAATTTAAGGTGCCCCCGCAAACCAGCGCCATCATCACCAATGGTAATTGATTGCCACCGTATTGATTTGTTCCTTGAATTTGATTCGATTGTGATTGGATTCTGCATGCGTGAAATGTCTTTTGTATTTAACAATTTGGGATCGGAATTCGCCGATTCGGGTAGTTCTAGAAACTAGAATTGGTATTGAGTTTCTGGCGCCCACAATAGCACGAAGCGTAAAGGCTTCTGAGAGAAACGAGTATCAGTAATTGGATATGCGGTGATTGGGTCAGTATTTATGATTATTATTATCGTTTATGAGTTCAATTGTGAGCCTAGAGATTCAGCCTCTGTTGGGAGATATATGCCTTAACCTGTTGTGCTAGGCTTTGCCTGGCAGATAGGTTAGTATTAGTTTTAGAGCGCAATTTCTTATTCATCTTACCAAGAAAGTAATTACGCCCTTTCTTTTTGATGAAAAGTTGGGGTTTTCCCCACCAGAAACGTAAATTGTTCTTGAATCGTTCCACATTACTTCATTGATCGAGTGGTGTCAATCTGTATCCAAACCATATAACTGTAGCTTATTTGAATTTTATTGCTCTGAAGATTCGAGTGTTAAAAGATCGTCAACAGTACTTAAATATGAGAAAAGTCAAATGTCATCGTACAAACTGCTGCACGTTTGGAAATGTATGGTTATGTTTGGTGTTAGCTGAACTTTCCTACATTGTTCTTCATATTTTTTATCCTGTCATGAGATGTGCTAGTGATTCTTTTTTCTTTTTTTTTTTTTTGTATTTTAGGTCAGAGAGATTCCTGTTCATTAGTTTTTATTGTACCAGTACTAATATGGAAGCTAAAGTACTTAGGCTTTTCTTCCCAGATAAAGAAAAATCAACACCTTTGAACTTGCAAATAGTTGAGCTTATTTGCAACTGCTGAGTGCTTGAGCTAGCTATTTAGCTGCCTCATGATTTCACTGATATCTTTCGGAAGAAGGGTCGGAGGTTGTGCTTTAGGATTTGTAAACTATGAGATGTGGACCGTGGTTGTAGGTGTTAGTGTGAGATCACACATCGGTTGGAGAGGGAAATAAAACATTTCTTATAAGGGTGTGAAAACCTCTCCCTAACATATGCGTTTTAAAACTGTGAGATTGATGACGATGCATAACGGGTCGAAACGGACAATATCTGCTAGCGGTGAGGTTGGGTTATTACAGTTAGATACTCTTTTCACGATTCTTTTTATTGGGAAAATATCTAAGAATCTGATACAAGCACAACATTTCCTGCGTAGAGTCTTTTTGTATACGCCATGATGGTCTCACTGCACATATGCTTTTAGATGCACTGATATTATAGTTTTCATTTCAGCAGCCTCTCATTTTAGGCGTTAACATGTATCGTATGCCTTACAGATGGCGTTGGAATCAACCCTCAGCAAAGTGCTGGTAAGCTGAACCATGGCTCTATTCTTAAGCTCTACAATTTATTGTTCTTTCTTCTGTTATGATTATTGTTCTTGTTATTTAAGTTTTCTAACCATAGAAGCATATGCTGAACTGCTTTACGTAGGAAAAAAGAAAAACGGTTGATATATGGATGAAGTAGATACTGTGAGATTCCACATCGATTGGAAAGGGGGACGAAACACTATTTATAAGGGTGTGGAAACCTCTTCCCAGCAGAGACACCACCCTTGCCTGAAAGCTAAAATATAGCAATTGATGTTTTCTTCTTTAACGCCCATTGTGAATGTTAAGAACCTTACCTTTGAAACTCGAAATCAGAATGTTTTTTTCTCTTATTCTTCCCGGATGTAACGGGTGCTTCCTCAAAGCATGAGATACATTTTGTGTGTGTTCTAAATTTTAACATATTCGTCAATATTGCTATAAACTTTTACATATTCTTACTGCCAAACAGCCTACAATTGTGGCCATGATATTCCATTTGAAGCTGAAATTTATGGTTGATGTGCTTTTTGCAGGCAACGTCTTCCTCAAGCACGGCTCTGAACTACGCCTGATTCCTCGTGATAGAGTCGGAGCTACTGGCTGGATCTATGAGAATGTAAACTACAAATACTCGCCTTAGTCAACTGGCTTCATACTTTTTTTTATCACATTACTGCAATTGATGAGATGAGAACCATTGTCTGCTTATCCTTTCGGTTTCACTAGAATCAATAAAACATAAAAAGTGTTTCATCCAATTGTTAGGATCAGAACAAAGAATTGCTAATTAATCAAAGGTCCTCCTGATCCCTCCGTCTACAATCCCTTATGAAACTTGATAGTATACTGCTTCTACGAAGAGCTCTTTGATGCTACATCTTTTTATACTGAGAAAGTGAACGGTATGGAGACTCCTTAGTTGGATATCGATTTTATTTTTCTTATTGTGAAAGTTAATCATGTTCGTTTTTGTTTAGTTATTTACTTAACACTCTTTTAACTCAAAATTAGAGCGTAAAAGTTCTAATAATATTTTTAAATTAAAAAAATATTAAAAAAGACCCTATCTTTTCGAGATAAATAATTAATATTTTGTTTTAAAAATATTTTCAAACTTATTTTTTATTAATTTAGTCGAGAAGGAAAGCTTGAATGATCAATGTCTGGACTGGAGAGCTTGAATTGAAGCCGAAGTTGAAGAAGCAAGTGCAGAAAGCCATAAGAAACTCGCCTTTTGCAATAACAAACTCTGTTTCCTCTTCCCTGCCGATTTCAGACATTCTTACCATTGGCAACAGAGCTCGAAATGCTCTGCTCCATCAAAACCCACCTTGCGCCCCTTGTCCATGCTACACCACCGTCATATTCTTGTACACTACAAGAAACTTCGATAATCGTACAGTTCGAGCTCCTATGCAGATACCAAATTTAGCCCACAGTAACATAGCTGAAGCTAACCCCACATTTCTCATCAAGACGTACGAACATGCCTGCAGAAGGATAGTATAATTCCCACGTTTTTGTTCCTCATGTTTACGAACTGCATAGCGAAGGAATTGCGCCACTGCGCGCAAGTTAGAGCTTTCAGGCGAGGCAATTCCCTTCATGCTTATTTGAGAAAACTTGGGTGTTTGAACGATGTGTTTATTGCGAACAATTTGATTTCCATGTACGCGGAGTTTTCGAATTTACGAGATGCAGAGAAGGTGTTTGATGAAATGTCTGACAGAAATATTGTTACTTGGACCACCCTGGTTTCTGCATTTACTGATTGTGGAAGACCTTATGAGGCACTTCGAGTGTATGATGATATGCCGAAATCTGAGACGGCCAATGGGTACATGTATTCCGCGGTTTTGAAGGCATGTGGGCTTGTGGGTGATTTGGATCGGGGTAAGTTAATTCAAGAAGGAATATATGGGGGTAAGTTGCAGGGTGATACTATTTTGATGAATTCTCTCATGGATATGTATGTGAAATGTGGAAGCTTGAGTGATGCGGTGAAGGTTTTTCACAATATTTCACGTGCGACCACAACTACTTGGAATATCATTATTTCTGGGTATAGTAAGGCCGGTTTGATGGTGGAGGCTGAAAAACTTTTTCATTGTATGCCACAGCCAAATGTTGTATCTTGGAACAGCATGATTGCTGGCTTTGCAGACAATGGGAGTCAGCGGGCATTGGAATTTGTGTCCTTGATGCACAGAAAGGGAATTAAGCTTGATGATTTCACATTTCCATGTGCTTTAAAGATCAGTGCGCTTCATGGGTTATTAGTCATCGGGAAACAAATTCATTCCTATGTCACCAAATTGGGGTATGGATCTAGTTGTTTTACACTGTCTGCTCTGATTGATATGTATTCAAATTGCAATGGCCTGACCGAAGCAGTCAAGTTGTTTGACCAACACTCTTCCTTCAACACTTCCATTTCTGAGAACCTGGCACTGTGGAACTCGATGCTCTCAGGATATGTTATCAACAACTGTGACCAAGCTGCTTTGAATCTGATTTCATACATCCATTGCTCGGGTACGATAATGGACTCTTACACCTTTGGTGGTGCTTTAAAGGTTTGCATCAACTTATTAAGTCCAAGGGTTGGTTTTCAAGTACATGGTCTGATTGTCACTTGTGGTTATGAATTGGATTATGTTGTTGGAAGCATTCTTGTGGATCTCTATGCAAAACTAGGACGCATCGACGATGCATTAGCACTGTTCCATAGGCTTCCAAGGAAAGATATCATAGCCTGGTCCGGTTTGATCCTGGGGTGTGCTCAAATGGGATTGAACTGGTTAGCTTTCTCAATGTTCAAAGATATGCTCGAGTTGGCTCATGAAATAGATCATTTTGTCATTTCAACCACTCTGAAAGTCTGCTCCAATTTAGCATCTCTTAGAAGTGGAAAGCAGGTCCATGCATTCTGTGTCAAAAGTGGGTATGAAATGGAGGGGTTCACAATAACTTCCCTTCTTGATATGTATTCAAAATGCGGTGAAATTGAGGATGCATTAACATTGTTTGATTGTATACAAGAAAAAGACATAGTAACTTGGACTGGGATCATTGTAGGATGTGGACAAAATGGAAGGGCGGCAGAAGCTGTCAGGTTTTTTCATGAGATGATTCAATCAGGGCTAAATCCAAATGAAATCACCCTTCTAGGGGTGCTTTCTGCATGTCGATATGCTGGTTTGATCGAAGAGGCACGAAACATATTTAATTCCATGAAATCTGTATATGGACTAGAACCTCATTTAGAGCATTATTGCTGCATGGTTGATCTTCTTGCTCTAGCTGGGCTACCTGAAGAAGCTGAAAAATTGATAGCAAATATGCCGTTTGAGCCAGATCAGACCACATGGCGCACTTTGCTAGGGGCGTGTGGAACTCGTAACGATACCAAGCTTATTAACAGTGTTGCTAATGGCCTTCTTGAAGCTACACCAGATGACCCTTCAACATACGTGTCACTTTCAAATGCTTATGCATCGCTGGGGATGTGGCATAACCTAAGCAAAGCGAGGGAGGCTGCCAAAAAGGTGGGAGTCAAAAGAGCTGGGTTAAGCTGGATTGAGGTTGCGAGTTGAAAGAAAAAAATACTCCTTTGCTGACTGCATGGCAGGAAAATATCCATTTTTAAACCTCTCTTGGAATGAGAGTCATCCCATGCAATTGGTAAAGTGAACAGACACATGAAAAGGAGAGGCCGCTCTTGCTACCAAAGTTCAAAGAGACTCTACCTTTATGTCTATGGTACGGTAATCACTTCGTTTTTTCACTTCTAACTCTGCACTCAACCCGATGTTTCCTGCTATATCTACTTTGATTCTGAAATTTGGGGCAAGTCGATTAATAAGATGTGAGTTTATATTATTGGGTTTTAACTTGAATTGTCATTCTCCACGAATTTTGTTACGGTTCCCAATGTTTGTAAAAGTTGATATCGATCATGTTCATCGACTGTTTTTGTTATTATAGTTCAACATGTTACTGGGTCCTTTTCTAGTCATTTCAATCCATTCATTCTACAGAATAAAGGGAGTAAAAGATATTCAGGCATCATTCTGCTTCGTTAATTATCAAGCTGATGTATAATCAATGGTCTTTTCATCTCTGTTTAAGGACCTGGCCTGCCTTCGCGGGAAGATAACTAGTGCATAACATAGAGGATGAATCCACTGTTAATTCAAGAAACTGTGAGGCAGACTTGCTGTTTTTTTTAACCAAAAAAAAAAGGCAATTCTAGGCAAATTTTCATGTTCTATGTTTCTTTTTCAACTTCTTATAGACTTGCAGGCGTAATACGTTGTTAGTTAACACAGTCGGTAAACTACTGTTTCCTGTCAAGTCTTTGATAGCTTCCTCCTAAACTGATAATCCTGTTGTTAATGGGCAGAGTGGAGGAGGAATATTCAGGCATAAAGTGATGATGGCTGAACAACTAATCATGACATCGGTCCCAGAGAGGAAAGACGGTAACTTCCCTACATTATTTTGGTTCTTTTCCTTACCCTTGAAATCCAGTTTTGGACGATCCTAATTCAAGCCATTAAGTCAAGCGGGACAGAACGGATTATTCCAAAACGAACAAAATGGTTTCTGGGCCCTGGCAAGATTCGAAGGGCTTACTGTACCCACAGTACTTCGTGAGTCTGCTAATTCTCTACCTTTTTTAAGATGCATGTGAATTTTTTGCTCTTGACCCATTTCTCTGAGTCATGAAGATCATTTTCTTGAAGTAATTTTTATGCTACTGAACATTTTCTAAAATATTTTGCTATGATAAGGTGAGACCAACCTGTAGGATGTCATGTTTCTGGCAGAACTGATGGTGGTAGATTGCTATCTGAAAAGAAAACATTCTTACGTTATGTTGCTTTCTTCTTGCAATCATATAACCCACTACCTAGCTTACTCGCCAGTCCTTTATACGCCGTGCGCTTCAGCTCTACCTTTTTCAGGCCCGGCGTGAGGTTTCTGCTACCCTTTATTTTTTTAATGTTACCAATGACTGGAAATAAATTATAAGGATGGCCCAAAAAAGCTATCCAAATTTGGCGCCAAATGAGACCTGCTTCTTTACTAGGGGCTCTTTTACCCTGGTTTGGTTTTGTAAAAAGCTCGAGTTCTTAACCTTTCTCCGAAGAAAAATGGGGTCTTAAGTTCTTAACCAAGTCAATGCTTGGCTTGTAAACTTCAATATCAAACACCTAGAGATTTCCAAAAGTTTGGCGGGTACGAGCAGTATGGGTTAAATTAATTAGCATATCTAGGATGTGAGGTTAATCCCATACCAAGCACATGGCCTATACTATTGTAATATAGATGCACCCATTTCAAGATGGCAGCCGTCAACAGCCATGGAGAAATTGAAGGTTTCCAGCTTGAAAGTTGGGTTTTTTCTTTTTGTTATCAAGAAGAAAAGAATGTTATGGATGAATGAAATTACCGTCAATGGTAGATTAAAAATGTGAGATCTCTCACGGGTTGGAGAGGAGAACAAAACATTTTTTAATAAAGGTGTAGAAATCTCTCCCTAATAGATGCGTTTTGAAATCGTGAAGCTGACGGTAATACGTAACAAGCTAAAGTGGACAATATCTGTTAACGTTGGATTTGAATTGTTATAAATAGTATCAGAGTTAGATACTAGGCGGTGTGTCAGTAAGGCGCTGGCCCCTAAGGAGGGTAGATTGTGAGATCCCACATCGGTTGGAGAGGGAGCAAAGCATTCCTTAACAAGGATATGAAAACTTCTCCTTAGTAGACGTGTTTTAAAATTGTGAGACTGATAATGATACATAACGAATTAAAGCAGATAATATATATAAGCAGTAAGCAGTAAGCTGATTTGTTCTATTATAAAAAGTAGAGAGGTCTTTCAATTGCCTTAAAAGACTTCACATTCACATCCCCTCCCTAAACTGCCGACGGTGTGCGCATTATTTCTGGGCAGGTTGCACCTAGGGACTAGGCTACATAGAAGTTCTTAGGTCAACTAATTTTTGTCATTAATATGTGTACCTACGAGATCATTTTTTAGATTTGATCTTGAGGAAATCTCTGAACATTTATTTACTGCTTCTTGGAAAAGTGGACTTCTAGGTAAATGCATAATTGTTTAAAATTATTGCCTGAAGTCATCAAGTTTATAGGGAATAATTATCTTCACTCTTGTCCTCTCTCTCCACTTCTAGCCATAGAAGTACAGCAAATGTCTCCATATTATACGTACAATTTGAATGTGCAATTAATGCCACCATCGGGTTATGTGGAGATATCTCATCTCCAAGACACCGTCGATTCCCACCCAACACACCACCAAATGCCAATTTACAAGAAACACAATTCAAAGCCATTAAATTCAATATCATTCCAAAGGCAATCAGACAAACTCTTGCCCAACAGAAGCCACTAATGGCAGCTAGAAGTTAAAACCCTCCATAAATGACAACAAAACAGGGCAATATTGCCTTGGGACTGAACACGTATAACTCATCCAAATTGGAATACATGCCTGCTGCTCCGGCCAATGAGTCATAATCCTCCATAGTGCCTTCTGAACTTTTCTTCACCCTACCAGCTATTACTCGGCAAACCAGCATTGCCCTTTTGTCATTGCCGTCCGATGATATTCCGGCACTGTCATGAGCCTTTCCACTTGTTGCTGTTGTTAGAATCCCCTTTCCAGCGTCCCCTCCAGTGGCCTCTGCCGCCACCTTGAACCCATTCTTGATAATGCTACAGACATTGCATTGTGGTATTGAACTGCAGAGGTTGGAGGAGCCATTAAGGCCCAATGAGCAGGCCAAGGTGGTGCAGTGGAACCTTAAGAGTTCGTTGCCATCTGCTATGCATCGTGGATGCTTCTTTGAAAGCTTTATGGCTTTGGCTTTAATGGAGTCTCTGTATTCCTCGAATTTCGAGATGGTCTTTGCAGTGTTCTGGACTTTGAGAATCCTTTCAATTTTGCAAATTGGGGCTTGCTTTTTTAGCCAGCTCGACTGGAATATGATTTCCACTATGTTCTTGCTTGTGTCTTCAGGACCAAGTTCAGATACTGAAAAATTTTGCAATAAGAAAATAAGCTTAGATCTTATGAACTGAAGTTAATGAATGCATTAAAGTTGCAGAGAAAGGAGGTATCAAAATCTTAAGTACCTGCATGTCTAACACTCTGGTGAAGCTCTAAAGTTTCAGCTTTCATGAAAATCTCCCCACATTCAGGACAAGGGAAAATAGTTGCTCTAAGAGAAGGATCTCTAGTTATCCCAAGAACAGGGTCAATCACCATTTTACATTCATAACAGCCATAGAATCTCCTGAATGGCATTCCCCTGAAAGAGGCACCATTGGAGGAATTGGAAGAAGATGATGCAGATAACGATGAAGTTGTGGCCGATAGAACACCATTTTGTTCGTTCAAAGGAGGAGCTTTCGTGGATCTACTTTTACTTAAGGACTCATTGTTTTTAGAACCCATTGAAGAACCCAATGCCCTTTTCTTGTGAGCATCCGGTGATGCTGCTACTTCAAGCCTGTGTGTTACCTTAGTGTTGCTACAAAGTGAACCCGAACACCTCATTTTCTTACAGTTCTTGCTACTCTCTTCTGTTGCTTGCTCCGTTTGTTTCTCTTTGCGTGGCAATTGATTCTGTTGTTGTTGTTGAGGCTGCAGGTACTTACAGCTGAATATGCCTCTAACAACTGCCCAAGACGGCGGCTTCTCTGCCTTCTGCGCCTTTGGTTTCTGGTTTTCATGGCTCTGTCTGGTAAGCTTTCTCTGTGTTTTGGGTTTAGCCATGGCAGATGCCATTTTCTTACACTGAAAATGTGAAAAAAGTTGAGAAGTATTTCAAGGCAAACGAAATGGGGTTTGCTTTATCTCAAAAGATGGAACTTCTTGAGCACAAGAAGTTGAAGATGAAGCTTTGATAATAGGAGGTTAGGGACTATGGATATGGGGAGTTGTGGGAGTTTTGGATATGTGAATTTTTATTCATTCGCCATAAAGGTATCAATTTTGACTCGTAAATTGATTGCTCTGAAGACAATATCAGTATTTTATTGTTGTTGTAGGAATCTTTTTCAATATGTGGCATTGGTTTTGTTGTCCCAAGGGCCCCCATGCTTAGTTTTTTAGTGGAAAACTCCATTCAGTTTGCCTGTAAATTACTAAAAGATATGTATGCCTTTTTTCTCTAAATTCCAATTCTTTTTCTGCCTTTCGTTTTGGGATTTATCATCTTCCTTGCTCATTGACAAAACTTCTGCAATACCCCACTGCCATGATTAGGAACATCAATTCACTTCTGCATACCCAACATGCTTAAACCCAACTTAAACCCAATTTCCTTATTTCGCTATTCAAATACAAACTACATTCATTACGGATTCTGAAGTGTGATGGGTGTAAGATCCTATACTGATTGGAGAGTGGCTACTAGAAGCATTTTAAAACCTCGAGAGATATTCCGAAAGGGCAAGCTCAAAGAGGTCAAGATCTACTAGTGGTGGACTTGGGTGGTTACAAATGGTATTAGAGCCAGACACCGAGTGGTGTGCCAGCAAAGACATTGGGCACTCAAAAAGGGTGGATTGTGAGATTCTACATTGGTTGGAGAAGGGAACAAAATATTGGTATCAAAGCCAGACACTGAGCGGTGTGCCAACGAAGACACTGGGCCCCCAAAGGGGGTAGATTGTGATATTCCACATTGGTTGGATAAGGGAACGAAACATTTTAGAAGATATTATCTACCATTTTAGGAGAATTCTAAAAGGGCAAGCTCAAATAGGATAATATATACCAGTGGTGGGATTAGGTTGTTACAAATGTCACAATCTCTTTCTAAGTAAATTCCGAAAGGAAAGCCTAAAGAGTACAATAATATCTGCTAGTAGTGGATTTAAGCTGTTACATTGGATCACAATTTTTATATGTTGAAATTGGCGAGGTTCCTTTTAGATATATATATATATATATATATATATATATATATATATATATATATATACACACGAGACAAACAAATAATCATGTGAGGGGTGTTTTTTTGGGGGTTAACCAAAGTGCCACTAAAATTAAGGTACACACACTAATTAGTCCATAATGAAGGGTGCTTTGCTTAAAAGCTGCTGCTGATGGTGGTGGTGGTGTTGATTCCCTTTGCCTCAAAATCACCACTGCACCATTTCTTATGGAATAAAGCTGTCTGCTCTTCTTCTTTACATTTTTTTTCAATAAAAATCATTCCCTTCTTTTCCACTCATTCAAACTTCATTAACCCTAATCCTTATTTGAATTTTGAATACATTGCTTACCCTTTCTCTCTCAAACAAACATCTTTTTGTTTCTTAAAGTCATAAACACTTTATTTATTAATAAGTTACTGTATATAAAACTGTCTGGTGGTGTGAGATCTTACATCGATTAGCGACAGACTTGGGTTGTTATAAATAATATTCGAGCAAGACATTGGGTGTAACGGCCTAAGTCCACCCCTAGCAGATATTGTCCTCTCTAAGCTTTTCTTTTCAGACTTCCCCTCAAGACTTTAAAACTCGTTTGTTAGGAAAAAGTGTTTACACTCTTATAAAAGGTGTTTCGTTCTCATCCCCAACCAATGTGGGATTGTGGGATCTCGCATTGGGCGATGTATTAACAGAACGTTGGGCCCCCAAGGTTGGTGAATTATGAGATCTCACATCAATTGTAGAGGGAAACGAAACATTTCTTATAAGGGTGTGAAAGATTAATGACAATATATAACATGTTTAAGCAGACAATATCTATTAATTTTGTATCTAATAAGAGACACTATACAGTTTTTTAAACTCACAAACTTAACAAACACAAAATTCTCAATCTAGACTTGGTATACATAATGAGTTAATAAGAAAGAGCCCACACCTACTCATGATATCTAGTTTCTTAGCATAGTTACTCGAGATTTCAAACTTTATTTAAGATGTTTTAGACACAAAATAAAAAATTTAGAAACTAAGCTTATAATTTAACCTTAACTTGAAGGCGATTCTCGAACATTTAAACATATACACTATTATTGAGTATGAGGTTTACATAGTTATAAGCAACCGTTGGGTTGTTATTTCTTTGAAATTGGGTAACCTATTGTTTGAAGGATGTAAATGCAATTCAAAACTTAAGAGTTGAAAAAGGGAAAAAAAGAAAGAATTAGTTACCTCTTTTGAACACAACCTGTGAAGTACTTCTTGGGAAACTACCGTCAAATTGGCGTACGGACAAATATATATAAATTTTGGATTCAAATCAAAGGGAACAAACTTAAGCCTACTTGTACAAATTCTTTTATTTTTTACTGTGTCCCGAATCTCATTTTATAAATGCAAAATTGTCCGAAGAGAAGAAGAAGAAATTACGCTTAAAGGACGACTTTGATATCGGTTCTTTCTCGCTCATTGGTTGGAGAGGAGAACGAAACCCCCTTTGTAAGGATATGAAAACCTTTCTCTAACATATACGTAATGGGGAAGCCCATAAGAGAAATCCCAAAAACCTTGAAGAGAAGATCGGAAGGGAAAACCTAAAGAGGATAGTATCTAGATGAATACCGATTTTGTTGTGTAACTCTGAAAGACACGTTTTAAAGCCTTGAGGGGAAGCCGGAAAGGGAAATCTCAAAGAGAACCAATCGTTGGAGTTTTCTTTTCTTAAACCAAAACAAAGTCTTGATCGAGCAGTCGTCTCTTGTAGTTACAGCAAGCAAAAGTGCTTCTTGGGGTAGAAGTGCTTAGTCGAAATCTTGATTAAGTAGTCGTTTTTCGTAGTTACGTAATTCTCTTATTTACCAATTAGATTTACAACATCTTTTATTTCGAGTACGAATAAGAACTAAGTTAGTACTGACTATTTGACGCTAAAATTTATTAAAATTCAAAATTGGTTTAAAAAAATGATATATCTAAAATTGAGTTAGAAAAAGGGGTAAACTTTACCAACTTTCAAAAAAGTGTTGCCCTACATAAATTCAAAATCCTTGTGGTAAAAGCCCCACAAAGTAAGGTGAAGCTTCCATAGCCAAAAAGAGTTGAACTAATTTTGTCTATACTTTCATCATCATATTGCAACCCTAAACGTCTACACGAATCACTCATTCCTAATTTACAACCAAAGCATACGCACAATTTTGATTCATATGATGTGAGATCCCATATCGATTCAACAACAGAATGAAACATTTTTTATAAGAATGTGAAAATCTCTCTTTAGTAGATGTGTTTTAAAATCGTGAGATTGACAACGATACGTAACAGGCTAAAATGGACAATATATGCTAGCAGTAGACTTGAGCTATTACAAGTGGTATTAGAGTCAAACAGTAGGCAATATGCCAGCGAGGACATTGGGCCACCAAGAGAGATGAATTGTAAGATCCCACATCGGTTGGAGAGGGGAACGAAGAAGCTTGGGCTGTTACAAATAGTGTTAGAGTTAGGCGGTAGACGATGTGCCAGCAAGGTTGTTGTACTTTTAAGGGGGTGGATTGTGAGAACCCACGTTGGTGGGAGAGGGGAACAACCCAATTGAACCGAGCTAAGAAAAATTGGGCTCGTTGGCATGGTGAGGCCGAGGCTAGAGATGGGCCGAATTCAAAATAGCCCATTTAAGAGAAGCCCAAGTCTATTCCAAATCACTGATGGGCTCTACTATATTAGTCCAGAAAACGATAGGCCCAATAAGAAAGCCCACTACAATTCAATGCAATTTCAAAAACGCTCCGACAGGGGACGGGTTGAAACAAGGCGATCCTTTTCAAAATTCTCCTTCCCTCGCACCCCACACACACACACACAGTACGGCAACAATGGAGGCTTCCACTGATCTCGCATCTGTAGCTCACCTAAGGCTCTGGATCGAGATGATTCCAAACCAGAGTGTCTGGAATTAGAGCATTTCCTTCATCTTTCTCCTCTTTTCCCTTGTTATTTTCTCTATTCTTCATCCCGAAATGCTGTTCGGAGTCGACTATGGACAGGGAGGCTAACCTTCCGGTCCCGTCCGAACTTGCGAAGAAAGTGAGCCGTCAGACCATCCCGGAAACTACGTCGTCGTCTTCATCCTCATTTTCTTCCTCATCACCGCCGGACTTCCTTCGACATGTTCAAGCTGCCTTCAAGCGCCATCGACCACTTGGTAACCATTTCTGTGTTTAATAATTACTCGATTTGTTCGAATATTTGATGATTTGGGCTGGTGTTTATGCGCTTTTTTAGTTTGGAGCTAGTATTAGAAGAATTTATTCTTGTACTACTGTATCTTCGCCTCAGTTAGGAGGGAAATGAGCTGTTCACCAACTAATGTAGGAAACTTGAAAAAGGGTGGTGTTTAATTTTCTATGTTCACATTTTAGCTTCAATCTCACGGATTTTAAATTCCAGAATCGGGAATTTTTTCGCGACTATGAGTTCTTAGGAAACTATGGTTTCTCAGAGATATTAGATAAAGAATTCGTTCTAGTTTTTGGTCTCTGGAGTTTCCTTCGGAAGGAATTATACCAGGAATACCATGTTTCCTTTAGACTCAAGGTTATGTATTAAATACCCCGGAAGAAATATGATTCTGCTAAGATCTCAGGCAATGGTTTTAATTTTATGGTTGTTCTTCGATCCTAAGAATTGTCTGACAATCATAAGAAGTTTCAGGTGTGACGCAGACAAATAGTATAAGACCCAGGCGTTTGTTAGTTCCCCAAAGAGAGGTGTCAAGGAACCCTCGTT